ATACGATCTTAAATTGCTCAGATTCCTATAATTATTTTAAAGGTATAAGAGCGAAGAGCAATAACAAATATATATGGAAAAATACATAAAGATTAAAATAATGTGTACTGTTTTTCCTTAATTTCTCAAAAGTAATATATTTTGCATCTTTTTTGGGAAAAATACTATATTTATTTTTAAAAAGGTGGCATCTCTAGCTAGAACTATACCACTAATATAGCTGCAGATTGGCTCTACCACGTAAGAATCTGACTACAAACGATTCATTTGAACTTGTAAAATAATTTTCAAATAACTTCATTTTCGTGATAAGATATCGAGCGATAAATTACGTGTAAAAGAACCAACGACGTCAATGTCACGGTAGTAGATCATGTAAAAAAAAATATAAGCATAATCAGCACCTGTAGAAAACTTACGTTTATCATTGCTTATCTAGATATAATATCTTACAATCCGAAATTTATAGATATTCCTATCGTTGTACAAAGTAAAGAAATACTTCGTTTTTCTTAACTATTTCCTTATTAGGGTACTTATCAACATCGTAAAATACTAAAGTCGTAAAGAGTTAACAATCTAAATAGTAATAATTTACAAAAAAAAAAACATTTTTATAAAGGTAACAAAGTAAATATTATTAAGAAACGGCAAACAGCTAAATTAATTAGTGTCAACCAGCAAATAAACAGGTGTCTATAAAATAATTAATGCATCTTTAAAGCCATAATATCTTGATAGTGCGCACTTGGCCCTATACTTACTCTGTCTAATTCTATTTAACTTGAAATTGCAAAGGTAAAATACAAACATTACTAAAAAAGCATGAATTAAAATTATTATAAAGCTCGATAAAGTAATTCGGTCAGAATCAGGAGCCGTAAACGCGGCGTGACCCTGAGAGAACTCGTACCAACGAACTTGACGGTATCATTTGAGCAAGTTTTTTATACCGTCCACATCCGCAAAGTATAATATTATATTATTTGATTCATATTATGTGCAACGTGCTTTGATTTATATGTGCTGGATTTACAATTTCATTCACTATTACTAGTAGGTATAACAAAAAAACGTAATATTTTGAATGGAGTATAATTTTTTACATCTTATTATTCTCTTCGCTATCCCAAGTTACTGTATAATTGGTTTATTACCTAATGTTTTCTTTATTATTGTTGCAATAATAACATGCCATAGAGCAATAATATTAAACAAAAAAAAACTATAAACTTAAAAATAATCTACCTTTATTTTTCTTATATCATGTAATATAGGAAAAATATTCTTAGGTCGAGTTACAGCGAGTTTGAATATCTTGAATCAGTTTATGTTTGGGCAGGCAGTTCGAGTTCAGACTAGGAGTCACAATGCGGCGGGCACTACTTAGAATTTCTGTTATTGGGGGACTGATTCTTAATGTACTAGAGAGTATGTATGAAGCAACACCCTGAAGAAAGTGACAGACAAATACGTGTAACATAACCTAAATAAGCGAATTCGATTGGGCGGGAAATCCCCTGCTGCATAAAACGCAGGGTTATACAAAACGAGGTAGGTGGGAGCACCGTAAAATAGGTTCAAGAAAACAAGAATAGGGTAGTCAGCATTTAAAAATGCAAAATCCGTATACCTAAATAATATGAGACTTATTTTTATTTCTTAAACTTCACCGTATCATTTTCTCATAACTTTAGAAAAAAACGTAAGATTACAGTAACAAATAAGTTATTGGTAAGTTCAAGACTACAAGCGTGATATTATTATTTGATAAAAATTTATAAAAATCGAAGTCGTAGAAGTCGAATAACAATGGCGAGTTAATCGACTATTCGCCTTAAGGAATGGCGATTAATCGGTATTCAACTATTCCCTATAACAACTATTTTGCTTTAAACTATTATGTGACAAGTAACGACAACAGTAATATGTCATGTAAACGATAACAGGCCATCAGTGAGATCATATTTGGGTGCGTGCCCGGCCGCAGCGGACACGACCTATGTTATCTTTAGATTGCAACGCAGAGGACACGCACCGTGAAAGTCATTACAAGTCATACTATTCTCCTGTTATAAACTGAGGCAACGCTATCTCAAATATGTACTGGTTGTTTATGATTATATGCATCCTAACCAGCGCAGAGACGAAAAATTATCGGAAGTACGTGAGAATTTTAACTCAAGAAAGTTACTGTGTATGTTGTGGTAAGCAAAACCACAGTAAAATACTAATCATCCGGCTACTCGGCTGAAAAGATTAGTAATCAATCAAAAGAGTGTGCTATGGTTTAATTAATCCAGGGGATATAATGCCTTATATATGATATCGGATGTTTTTGCTGCTGTAGAAGCAGAAGAAGACGTTAGGCCTCGTGTAAAAAGTGGAATAATCCAACTAAATAACTCCTCTAAATAACTTTTTTTTCGTGCGGTTTTAACGACTTCTTAGTTTTACGTCATTACGATAAACTTTTTGTAATAAATGCGTTCGGCAACCCTATGCTAAAAGATTTAATTGAAAGTTGTATTCGTGTTATTTTATAGCGACTATATTATAAACGACGCACAACTCTCATTACTTATAAAATGCTATAAAAATTCTGTTAGAAAAATATTAATCTTACGTAATATATTTTTACCTACAGAAAAGAAACGTCCTTGGTTGCGTTATATAATAATTTAAACGGCAAATTAGGTTAAGATGTAGATAGATGTATGATACTAAAATTTTAAAAAATACTACGGAGGCCTTACTGAGGCCGAGTGAATTTGTGAAGGACTGTAATAAAAGATTCTAACGTGTAATAATTGATAAAGAACGAAAATGTTTTACGATTTTTCACGAAATGAAATCCAGATTCCAGACCTTGCATGCATTTACCTTAACATATCACAAGCGATGTTCGTGATACTCGCGTAGTGGTTATCACGCCAACGACGAAACGACTGTGAGTGTGACAATGGACACGGATTGGCGGGACAAGACTAAATGTCACGCGCTCCGTGAATCCGACCATGCGATATTTCCATAAAAACTTTATAATATTTAAATGTACAAAACTATGGTGTTCAATAAAATGTTAGGTTATGATCAGTGGAAAGGATGTGTACTGTTTTATAGCTTTAATGACGTAAAATCTAGTTTTAAAAATATGGAGAAGATGACTAAAAAGCTACACATTAAAACAAAATAACTTTTTTTAAATACAGAAAGTTGAAACTAAGAAAATATAAAATTAACATTAAATCCTTTTAAATTTAGTAAGTAATAAACTAATTTTCAGATAATAAGACTCTACTAGGATAGTGGTATGTTAGACTAGTTTTTAAAAGGAACACTTTTTTCCAGGATCTGGTGACAATATGTAATATATTTGAGACATATTAAAATACAAAAAATTAACAAATAGTAAATTAAATTTAAAAAAAAAGATATGAGTGTTAAATGTTAAACATTCATAACTTAAGAAGATATTTGGGCTGGAATCCATTTGAAATATAGATTTTAGATCTATTGTTGTCATGTTGAGCCTTAACTATCAATCTAGGCAACTTAAAGAGACTACTGTAACTAGAACTGACTATAACTATGACAAATTGATGAAATCATCACAATCTAGTATTCCCCTGCCTTATGCAAAACTCGACTGATTTTAAATAATTTCGGAACAATATAACTTTAACTTTTATATGTTGCTTAAATTTGTGTGCTTGAAATAATGGCTGTATAACAAGACAGTAAGTTATTTTAGAAGGTTAAGTTTTAATTATAGAAGAAAAAATGGAAACATGGCATTTGTAAATTTAGATAGCTTTGTAAGAAAAAAATATTTGTGTGACACACTAGTGTCATTACCCAGGAAGTTAACAGAGGAATGAGTTTGTGGGCTCTGTCCCGATATCCTCCTAATTGCATATTAATGAAATCAAGCTGATTAAATGTAGAAAAGTTTGATGATGCTATTTAGGTATTATTAATTGCATATTTGATCTGTTGGTTAAGTTGCTGCCTGAAACATAAAACTAAATAACACCAACAACTTTTTTTTTCCTCACATAACAGTATTTTTGTTGAAATAAATAATAAAAGTACTGGATGCTGAACATCATCAACATATCCACTATGGCATATTTCATAAGGTTTATCACTACCTATCTATCAATATATCTTAATTACTTTTATCAAGTACTTAATACTATTCTTTTTAAAGAGTATTTAATTTTACAACTAAATTGACAGAATTTAATAATTGCCTCATTACCTAGTTTCATTACATAATTATATTTTCGTAGAAAACATTAAAATCATGGCTCAAATCAAATTTTATCCGAAAAGTTCTTATATAAGGTCATTTAAGGTAACCATATAAAAACAACTATATATAAATCTCAAATATCAATGTTAAATATTGACATCAATAATTATTTTAATAATTTGGATTAACTCTTTTCTTTTTAGTTGGCTTCTTTTGAATGCGTTAAGTAATATATTTTGCGATAAGCGCAAGATTCAATTTCATCGCCTTTTACTCTTATCTTAGGTACATAAAGTAATATTAATATTTGCTGTAAGATAATATTGTGTCATAAATTAGATAATGTACAAATATCTGATTATAGTGCAAAAGAATTATTGTGGAATTTTTATAATTACATTATATCCAAAGTTTATGTAATAGAAATAAAGAATGTATATACCTATATACATCACATATACATGTGTGTATAGCTAAAGGGCGCGTGCTAAGTCACTTTAGCGCGAAAGATTTGTCTTTAAATTCTAGCAACTAAATGTCAGCAACTTAGCACAAAAAATAATATAGGTAATTATAGTAAATATACTGCAATAAGAGTATATTTGTTCCAAAAATACTTTTATTCTATTACATAACTCGCAATTCAAAATGTGCTTCAAAGGTTATGTAAAATATATTTATGATACAAAAATATACAGAAGGTTAGTTAATTTAATAAATTACGTAAAAATAGTGTATTTACCTGCACTTCAACCAATTTAGAAGACGTAATCCTGAAAAGAGCCATATTTAACCCCACCGAGCGCTAACCAACACACACACCTAACTAAAAATATGTAACGCTCGGAATCGATCGTTTTCACGAGTGAAATAAAAATGTTGGCTGACTTGCGACAGTGTTACCAACTCGATTTTTTTCAAATCCGTAGATTATAAAAATAATATAAAAAAAGTGTAGTATAGTAAAGTAAGTATAAAAATTTCCGTATAATAAATATCGTATCCGTAGATCTGCAAACTTCTTAAAAGAAACGATCGATCGATCATGTACAATTCTTATTGTAAGTGCAATAGTAGTATAACATGGAATCAAGTTTCACATATGAGAAAAAAGTACCATAAAAAGTTGATTATAAATTAACTGTTTTCTTTTAATTAAATTATTTTTGGTAAAAACTCGATAAAATAATTAGCACTCAAATATTAGTAGCTTCTTATAATTAAAAAAAATACTTCGACTATTAATAGTTAGCTCCCATAACTCATGATAAAAAATGTTTTGTACTATGGAGTACAAAAAAAAACTGAACAAGGTAATCAAATTCTGTAGATTTCAACTTATTGGTTTATATATTACACTAGATTAGTAATTATCGCGCCAAAGCGATGCAACCGCACATATGGCCACAGCCATATGCCTACGCCTGGCTATCTAGCTAACGTCACTACAGTGTTCACTGTTCAATATGACGCAGACAGAGTTGGGCCGAACGAAAGGCGACATAAATGGGTAAATACGTAGTGAAATAATGCGATTCAAGGTCACAAAAACATAATAAATCAAGCGAAATCACTTTCCACACATAAGTTTTAGTTAATGTTTTCATATAAACGTACTAAAATAATTAAATAAAATTATCGAATATTGCGATTTAGATCAAATGTTGCCACTTTTCCGTCTTTGTGATTGTCCCACATTAACGGGAGACGATAAAATTAAGACAGTAAGGTAATTTGTTACCTCTTATTTTAAATATTTTGGAAATTATAATAAAAACTACGTTTTAACTTTCATACAAAATAATTAATTATTCATATTTTAGTTTATTCGGGAATGATCTATTAAATATATTTTATAACCTATTTTATTTTAATAACTTTATATAGATTATAACTTTATTTTTATATAAATTATATGTTATTACCTATTTTATATTGTTTGATTTACTAATACCTTCGATCAATTATATACTAGATTAAGGATCAGGAACAAAAATAAGTCGCACAAGTGGCCACGTTGGCACACATATAAATATCTATCTATCTTAGAAAAAAGTTTAATAACATTAACAAATTCAGTTTATTATAAACCTTAATAACACTCTAACATAAAGTTTAATCACCATTGCAAAATTTATTTATTCAAGTCCTTTCATCAGAGAAAGGTTAAAAGCAATAAGTTTAGAATGTCGCTTGAAAATAAAAAATCATAGGTTACAAAAATATTTATTCTAAAATGAAACTTAAACTCTTAAGTAATAAGGTTAAAACATTATGTTGACATTTTCGTGCTTACTTTAATTTGGTAGTAGACTTATTTCTTGGTATTATATTTCAATGCTCGGAACACAGTGAGTATTGAAAGAGTAGAGTTGCAGAATATAAATATTTTAGGGCAAGGGCTGTTTTGTATGGTGGCAAATATTTTTGACCGATTTATAAAAGTATTAGGATTAAGTAGTAGGTATTCATTGAAAGGTCGTCAATTTCTTTTTTAAATACCCTTTTCTAGGAGTGTCACATATCAATGTTAAATCTGATAATGATACATCAGGAGACTTCAAGCAAACTGCATCAGCCCGAGGTACGTCACGTATTTCTGTCATATTGTTGCGCGCCTAGTTGACGACTGGCACTAGCGCCATCTAGTGTCGGGTAACAAAGCGAGGAAAGCTTTCCAGAAAATGACATGACTAAACTTTCCATCAACAGCGCCATCTAGTATCAAACAAAAGAATTAAGCTTTCTGGAAGCCCCACACTCGAACTTTCTGCGCCTGGTCAGAGGGCGCGCGTATTTACTTGAATGTTCAGGACGTTTCGGTGAAAAATGTGTATTTAAAGGCACTGCAAGATGCATGGGCATGCAACTTAGAACATTATTTTGAGAACAAAATGATATTTTTTGTGCTGCCATCTACGTTCCAAAGCACTAGACTAAACTAGACGCACCCAAGCCACTACGCAGTTAATGGCGGTCACTAGTAGTTGAGGTTAATTTGATATTAATATTAATTACAAATTATTCTGATTTCTCGTTTGTTTATGTGCTTTTTTTTCTTGTATTATAATAAATATTTGCGACCCAGTTTTTTTTTTAATTTGTGCCAAAATGTCACAAAATCTATGTGTTTTTAAATGTGACGTAAGTACTTTTCGCATAATTTCCATTTTTTATTCACTTGTAAACCGCTAATATCTAAGAAATTGAAGGTTCCAGGCATCAGCTGTAGTCACCAAAAGTCCACTGCTAATGAATGCATAGACCTCCACAGATTGCCTCATAGGTACTATTTGCCATAGCTGCCACACTTGGCAGGCGGGTTATTGCCCATCACCTGTTTCAGTTTCCCTCTCTCGCCTCGGAATTAATGATTATATTTTATTATTCCAGATGTTTTACACTATTTTCCGAAACCAGAATACCCTTCACTAGAAAGGTTTCAGCAGTGGAAGAGGATAGCTGGAACATATCTAACAGATAAAACCGATAGTGAAATTTATTATATTATTGTAAAGTGCAAATAAAGGGCGAGCTTAAAGCACTTTTTATTTAGCGCCATCTGTTATTCAAAGCACGCATCAATAACGAAAATAAAATGTGAGTCGCACATCTATCTCTAGTATATACACAGTAATCTATGGCAAGATGCGGTTGGGGCAGTATTGAATTTGGCGAGACAAGCGAAGCTTCGGAGCGAAATAAAGTGAATCAGTGTGATTACTTATTAGTTTTTTAAGTTTTAATTGGTGTAAAGAAACTTAAAGTGTAAATTTGATAATTCAATCGGCAGTTTTTATTGTCACGAACCTCAAGCTCGTAACAATTGGTGTCAGAAGTGGGATAAAATCATGCGGATTTGCAGTGGCGAAACTTCCATTAAAGCCGAAAAGCCGGGCTTGCCTTAATAAACCTGAATCAATCAATAATATCAACTAATAAAATAACTCGTGAAATGTTTCAAGCTATTTCAAATTTCCCGCGCACTCCACTGTTCGACACATGTCGACCGATGACCTCGTATTGCCTTAGCGATACTGCTGCTGTCATAAAAAATGAGATTTAATAGAGCTAATAGTTCTCTCCCTCGCTCGCGTGGGCTTTTTACGGGGCTTTCGAGAAGACGATCGCTCTCTTCCTAACCTATGGCAAAATATTCTAATACGAAATATAACTACGATTGTATATAATCAATTAGTAGAGAGATTTAAAGCCAGGCTTTTGGGAATAAATTTGTTAAAAACGGAGGCGCGCGGGCAATAAGTTTGCAAGTTCATTTCACTATATGTGCTAATCTTAAGCAATTTAATATTACGAGTTCAAAATTTATGCTTTTTTAAAGATAAACCTTCACCAACATTTTACGTGGACGTAATTAAATCTTTCCATAAGAAAGCGAGACGATTCCACTTATCTAATCTTATCTCTTATCCATTAGAATGTAAATAGTTTTTTTTTTAATTTTGTACATAGTTTGTTTGTACTTTGTTCGTGTTTTACTTTTGTTCATGTATTGTATTGGATGTAAATATTTTTTTTTCTTTCGCTTAAACAAACACAAACGGCTTTCTTCAAAGCCACCGAAGCTATGCAATCGCTGATATGTAATACAATCTATCTAGCAGTGGTATGCCTTCTGTGTGCTTTTTTAAACACGTCCTTGACAGCACTGAATATGAAACTGAAGCGTGGAGACAGATCAAGGTTGGTGTATTTTTATAAAACTGCTACAAACAACAATCTATATTTTTATCAATCTGCAGTAGCTGCAGCGCGGACAGGAGAAACAGGCCCGCCGGTTGGAAGAGCAGCTGCGGGGCAGACAGGAGGAACAGACCCGCCGGCAGGAGGAACAGGCCCGTTGTTTAGAAGAGCAACTCCAACGCGTAAAGGAAGAGCAGATGCCCCTCATGAAAGACCTTCACGCTACCTTCGGAAAAGAGATAAGGGAGGTGAGAGATAAGGTTGCTCAACGTGAAAACCGCCCATCGGAAGCTGAAACCCAAATCAACCAAGTGAAGAAAGTGACGAACTCAAACTTGGGGATGGAAATACAGCTTCCGTAGTAGCTACTACACCTTCGCTACGTGGGTTCAAAGTGCCGCCGTTTGACGGGACTTCTTCCTGGTCAGCCTACAAATTGCAGTTCGAGGCTGTTATGAAGGTGAACGGCTGGAATAAAAATCAGGCCATGACTGCTCTCACACTAGGCCTGCGCGACAAGGCCTTAACAGTTCTGGAAGCTCTCGGTGAGGAAGTGACTTATGAGCTACTCCTTAAGGCATTGGAGGCGAGATATGGCGACGCTCACCTGAAACACGTCTTTCGTGCGCAGCTTAAAGATCGCGTGCAGCGCATCAACGAAAACCTGCAGCAGTGGGCTCTAGAGGTGGAGAAGCTGGTGCGAAAAGCATACCGGTCTGTACCTGCGCTCATTGAAGGGAACCTGGTGCAGACATTCATCGACGGCATCCGCGACCTGGAAGTCAGAGCTGCTGTGAGGCTCGGGCACCACGAGACGCTTAAGGATGCCTTGGCCTTGGCACTGGAGGTGGAAGCCGTGCGGCAGGATCATCGTTCCCATCGCGTCAGGGAGGTTGCAGCAGCTACAGTTCGCGACCGCAACAAAGGATAAAGCCCTAGGTGCTATGGCTGTGGGGAAAAGGGCCATCTTCGATTCAGCTGCACTAAGTGAAACCTAGAAAGGGAAGGTGAACGATCTCAGGAGGGTAGTGCGGCCAACAGCACCGCCCAGCAGCAGCAGGGAAACGAGTAAAATCCAGAACT